TTAGGGTTGGGTACTGCCCCCCCCTAGTAACAGTTGGAGAATAATTATAATATTGTTATATGTAGCCCTTTATAGGACCCCTAATGCCCTAATATGACTGTTACTGGGTGGGGGCAGTACCCACGGTTTCCCGAAATCATGGATACCTTTTTGGGGTCCCGAGAATGAGGACTATAGTTTATTGGGGTCTATCTTGAGGGAAACTACCATTCAGGGTCTCGTGGTTTTGACCAAACGGGTCTTCTTGAGGGTCATCGCCATGTATGGAAGACCTTTCGAATTCATGTAGGGCATCTTTTGTGATTCAAACGCTCCCGTTCCACCCTATGGCGCGTCTCGGAAGGCTCAAGGTCTCATCTCTCACTCCGCATTCGGCCGCGGTGGAAACAAAACCATGTCACTCTTGGGCAGAACCTCCTTTCCCAGCTGTAGGGGCAGCTCAAGGCGCCTGTCTTTCACATAGAGCACTGACTCCAGTCGCCTAACCAAACAACATCAGAGTCCCCTTTTCTGTACCAGAACGTGAAGGTGTACAACGCAACTGAGAACAACAGCTGCTGGCAGATGGAATGCTCAGGCTCCCAAAATGAAAGACCACAAAAAACATGAGCTGGAGTCAATATGTCCTAAATAATAAGTGGACATGGGTTCCTTATTAGGGACTATACTGAACTACAAGAAGGACCCCATGTCCAATGTTAAGGGTCCCCTTTATAACTCTGATATTGTCTGTAGCTCCTACGAGTTACGCTTCCACGTTATTCTGGAAGTGGATGTTGCTAAAAGCCAGGCCCTGTCTGCATTCTTTGAAATCACCACCGATTTTTCAAGATCCTACATTTGACCTGCTATGAGACATGCGCTTGTCCTTCTCCAAGAATTTAATGTTAATGTAAACCATTCCTGGCATCACAAGCACCAGGTTCATTCTTCCCTAAACCCTAAACCCTAAACCCTTGAAAGCGGATGCCTAGGAACACTGAGGTCAACATGAAAATCAAATACCGATGTCCCACGTGCCTAGATGAGAAAATCCTACAATGAGACATGTTCTATTCAACCCATATTTACTGGCTCTTAACAGGGACTATGGACATATGTATTCTACAATGGGAATTATATAGGGATTATATTCCCTGATCCCCTACTAAGAACCAGCAAGTAGGTTCTGGAACATTACAAAAAAGCCTTGATTATGACGCCAAACCTTTGGAGTGGAGTTGGGGAACCAGCAGCCATACACCGAGACCGTGAACCCTCCTGGTACTACATTGACGACAAAAACGACGACGCCACTTTCACTTCTACTCCTGAAGTGGCAATGGGATCTGAGTTCGTCGCCATTCAGCGCTCCTGAGATGATGCAGTAAAAGCCTGGCTAGCACTTTGCAGATGTCCGGAAAAGATTTAGGCTAAGGCTGAGGTGTTTTTGCAGACCAAAGAGGCTTACGGTTTGCGGCTTAGAGCCCGCGGCTCTCACAAGTCAATCCTACAATGGCTCCTCGGGGCCAAGGGTGTTGGGTTGAGCAAAGTAAGGGTTTAGGGAAGCCACAGATTGCCGTGGTCACAGCTTAGGGGTACACAAGGGTCATTTGGGGAACTTGCATGTCATAAAATGTCTATTAGAGGCCCAAAGTGATTGATCCCTTCCACAAATGCTCAAGAGCTCCCGAAATTAAATAAGTGCACCAGTACAGTGTGGATGTTCAATGCTCAAGAGCTTGGGGGTTCGGAATATTTAGCGCAGGGACTACAAGCTATGCAAAAAAGTAGTTCAAGTCAGAGTGAAAAGGTACCGGCCACGTGTCAAGCATGAATTTCCTGACAGCTGGGTGCAAAGTATATGTATGAAAGGATTCAGGATTTATGCTTAAAATTTGGGATTTGCATGGATTTGCACATATCTGAAAAAATCTTCTTCTTTTTGGCCTGGGGTATCAGATTATGAAAAGCATCCCCAAAATCCCGGCCTTGTAATTAAGGTTCAATATTTCCCCTTGAGGAGAGCTTGTATTAAGGGGGTCAAGGATGTGGGTGGTTTTTTTATATCGGTATGAGGAGATTACTACAAGTTCCTACTTTACGTAAACCTTCAGGCTCCGCCGACCCGGAACAAGAAGGGCAGACACAACCTTTGCTAAGCTTCTGGAGCAAACGAACAAACAACAAAGCAATCATCTCACTTCTCAAAAAAAAGCGTACAGCTTTGAATATACACAAGGATATAAGGGAATGTAGGGAAACATTGATAATATGCAGGTTATATAGGGTTATCGTGATTTTAAAGAGGTATCATGTGGGTACTCAGTAACACTTGGATAATAATTATTTATAATATGGTTGTATATAGCCCTTAATAGGACCCCTAATATGGACTGTTACTGGGTGGGGGCAGTACCCAAGGTATAATATAGGATCTAGGACTCCGGGGGTTTCTGGCTCACCTTTTCTAGAGCTACTGCGAGGCAACAGCAAGCAATGTTGAACTTCTTCTGCTTGATATTTGAGTTTCCCAAAAGAGGTGGGAGGCCCAGTATAAACCCCAAAACACTATAATCCTTATTCTAGGGACCCCCAAAAAGAGTACAATATTGAGGGAAAACCTCACATGGGAGCTTCCAAATTAAAGGGGGAACCATCTGAGCTGTAGTCTGGTATCCCCCTGAATAACCCCCGTAGTACTCCCCTGCAAAGATCCGGTTCAGGACAGGTGGGTAGTTACCGGTGCCATATTTCAAGCTGGGTTTGCCGAAGGGCTCTAGAGATTTGCCGAAGTTGCTTAGCTTACTGGTTCTGAGGCACAATGGAAAAGACAATGGAAACTACTACATTAGAATAGCGGATGTGTTGGGCTTATATACACTATAGAGATCATGTAAGGATTATATTCACATATTCCCTTCTAAGAACCAATAAGTTAGGGTTTTGGGGTTTTGGTGTAAGAAGCCTGTTCAGGCCTATTCGTTCTTCAACTCATAACATATGTGGTGTCCCTAATTACCATGAAGTATTCTTCGATATGCTGGTAACATGGGGAACTCTGCTATTCAGAAATACCCATCTCAAGGACATCATATCTGAAGGCGTGGATCTTGAGCAAGATGGCCCTCTTGCCCAGGCATCCGAGCAGACAGAGTCCAAACTCCGGGGCCCGACACGAATGCAAAGATGCCTAGTACAAGTAGAAAACGCGAACGCTGGGGTCCTGTGGATACCTCATTCACTAATATACCCCAGACCCTAAACCCGAAGCCCAACCAATACATCCAGAATCATGAAAGGTCTTTCAACGCCACACACGTCTGCCCTGCATGTGAAGGCCTGGGCCTTGGACCTCCTTGCCTTTCTGCTAGTTACGCTACTTACTGGTTCTTAGTTGGGAATATGGGGATGTATTATAGGAGGATTATCTAAGAAATAAACTCCCATTATTCACTACTAAACCCAGCAAGACAAGCCGCAAAACAACGTACACTGGAGGGCATCCCTTTGATGTATGCAAGCTCGTGAGCGCACCTGCCACACAAAGGATCTTGGTGAAATCTGGCCGCTTGTCCAACGGTGTGCGCTGGTAGGTGGGTGAAGTCATGGTACCCCAAAGTGTCCAGCACTTGAGCAAAGCAGCTGCCAGTAATCGCATGTGAGCATTAAAGGACATCCCTTTCTTAGTGTACGTCCGAGCCTCTGCTTGATAAACCCTAGATGCCAAGCAAGAAATTCTGGCGGATTGCCTCGCGGCTACACACATCCAAAGCCAGGATTGAAGAGCCCCAATCAAGCAATGCTCCTCACAGAATACTTTCACATGGATTGTTGTCGAAAAAAATGTGGGCGCCTTTTGGTGAGAAATGATGGTACAGCACTCAATATTTAGGCATTAGGGGTACCAAAATGGGACACTGATTTTGGGAACTCCGCGCATCAGAATCCTCAGGGTTGTCCCTCAGAAGCCTGCACATTCGACGAAGACCATAACAAATAGAGTACTAACAAATAGAGTACATGGGTCACTGAAGACGTGCCAACTGAGAAGGCTGCAATCTCAAACCGATCATGACACTGAACAGAAACACCAAGGCATCATGCCTTCGTCTGAAAGCCGTTCTCAAAACAACTGACGGTGTTCTTTTCGAGTCTGGCAATGCTACCACATCTCTACAGTGGGTTGCCCTGCCTCTCCTCGTCATCCAGCTACTACTACCACAAACACCATCCCTCCAACAATACAAAGTATAGTGATGATTCTTGTGTTGGCGCTCCATGTGGTAGGTCTTCGCGCAACCCCCAACAAGGACCCACCCCAAGTAAAGATAGATTGGCTGATCCCAGAACAGCAGTTCAACCAGCTTGCATTACAGGATGTATTCATGAATGCCCGTGGGTCCTTGAACGGCCGTGATTCTTGGATTCCTCCGCGCCTCCAAACCTCGATCGCCCCTCAACTTTCAGAGAGCCTGGCGAAATGCTTGCGGCTGAATGGGGCAATGCAAGTCAGCAGCATGACTAAAAACATAAGCTGAAAACATGCACAACAGCGGAACCAAACGGCAAAGTAGCCGCAGCTCTTGCAAGATCAATGTAGTAGTTAAAAATTAACCGTAAGATAGGAATCGCTCGAATCATTATGACTGTTAACTTCCAAAAACTATACATCTACTTACTAGACCACACTGATCCGGTAAGAAGGTTTCTTCCTCACAACGTCAAGCTCAAAAACCGAAAAAAATGTAGAACAGAAGATGCAAAGTTTTTGATGACCCAAGGATCGCTGACATTGCTGCAAATAGCACTTCATGTATTAACACACCCCCATAACACATACAATGAACATGTCATCTCAATACACACGTAGTTCCGACAGCGCATTTACAACGCAAACACGCAGGTCACACCCATGCCACGTTGTGGAACCGGTGGAAGTAGTCATCAGAAGCATAACGGCATAACCAGATTTCATATTCATGTGTACCTAAGTTGTTAACAAGAAGACCGTGTTGATGAGAAGACTTCTCGCACATTGTAATTTGTGATGGTTGCTCCTTTCTGCTGATATGATTGTTTCTATTGACATCCTTCCAAACTCAGGGAACTTCAAATACCCTGAATTTTTGTGGTAGAACATGCTTGTTGCAAAGGATATCTTCTCCGCAGTGGTAGCATGGCAACCTTGAAGCTATGCAGGTGTTTATCCAGGATTTTTTGCATTGCGCTTATGTAGGTGAAATCTTTTGCCGAATGGCGGATGTCGCCAACGCATTGCTTGTGCGAGTTGATTCTTTGTTGATAAAAAAGTAAAAGTTGCCAATGCAATGTTATTGTGTGTTTTGCTTCTTTTTGTGAAATGATGACTGTTGCGCAAAGCCATTCACTACGGTATCAAGTTGACAACATCAGCATCATGCAGAAGGTATACAGTCAGCTTTTGTCAGCTTGAAGCACAAACGCCTTCAGCATTCGGGCGGTTTGCGTGAATAAAGCGCATGAAACCTACCCATGCATTGCATGCCCAAACAGCTTGGAGTCCTGGACACTTACCCATGTATAGCTTGGGGTCTAACGTCCCTGCATTCACAACCAAAGGTATCCAGCGCAGTCTTGCATTGCAATGCATCCTTTGTGGCGCATTTGGCTGTGTCGGACAAGCTTCAGCAGAACAGCAGGTCGCCAAGCGCCCGCCGCAGATCTCGGCTGGCATGATTTCTCAGAGCCGTCAACTAATGCTGCGCTTCTGCATAATTTCGACTGGGATCATCATCAATCCGCCAAAAGAGCTTCAGGTCAGCAATCCATGTCGCGCAACGAATGAATGCAACCACACTGGCTCGGGCTCCAAACGGCACTGCGTGCTGCTGGAATGATTCTGCCCGGCCTGTCTCTGCATTGAATAGGCTGACGCTGGCAGATTTCAAAAAAAACATCTGAGATGAAAAGTTGGCGGTGTGCACCCTTCAGCTCGTTGGGTTTTGCCCAAAGTGGGTTTACGGGCGGATCTCAAAGCCTGCATTGTTTTTCCTGCGGCCGCGGCTACGGTGCCTGGCCATCCACGGTGACCCTCGACGTGATGTTGATAGCATCATTGACATGACTCTCAGAGCAATTGTCCATGCAACGTAGTTTGCCAAATCATGTTGCAGCCAACTCACGGATCAAAGTAATGTCGATCCCCGATTAGTGCAGGGATCCCCAATAAAGTAAAGCTTTTTTGAAAAATATACTGGACCCCGTATTCGATTTGGGGTATCCCAATAAAGTAAATGTTTTTTCGCCTGAAAAAAAATAGTGAAAGTTTTGATCAAAATTCCTTTTTTACAGTTGCATTTTCCCAAATCCTGAAGGCAACGATCCTTTTACAAAGTTATTCAATCAAATAACTTTGCAATATTCCATTCAATCAATTAATGGACCGGAGAACCCCACATGTGTAGTTTAACCCGAATTTAAATGAGACACTATTAGGATGTCGTCGCCCGGCGATACGAGAAGATATAATTCAAAGAATGACAAACCATCGATGCGACATTCGGCAGCGAAACGATGAGCGCATTGCGCGAGCGCGAAATCGGCATCAGCTGCAGCTGGTGTACACGTATATGTATATGATCACGTGTACACTTCGCATATTGTCCATTCCCAGTGATAGCTGGATTGATGGATGTATGTATGTATGCACATATGTGTGGATGTATGTATGTATGTATGTATGTATGCTTGTATGTATCTATGTATGTATGTAGGTAGGTAGGTATGTATGTATGTATGTACGTGTGTATGTATGTATGTGTGTGCATGTGTATGAGTGTGGCTGTGTGTACGTGTATGTACGTGCATGTCTGTGTATGTATGTGCATGAATCTGGACGTGCGTCCAAGTGTGATCAATCTCCATGTCAGTCAGCAGCTGGATATGGACCTGGCATGCGACTTTAGTAAACACGTTATCGTTAGGGGAGTGCTTGAATTCAGATCTCAGACAACAGCGCACATATATATGCTACCCCCACCCATCTACCCACGTTTGGTGTGTTGAAATGGTGACTGACGTCATTTTCATGGCATTTTATAGGGTATGCTCTATCCCCTACATATGATATTTCCTGTATGCCTTTTATTTACACCATGGAGTACTCTACAGAATACCGTATTCAATCTTCTATAGAATACCCCATAAAATACCATATATAGAAGGATTTGGTTTCGCGGCATACCTCGGCCCCAGCGTTTTTACACATTCCCTGTATGCATTTGATTTTCCCTATAGAATACCCTATAGACATATCATATATGTAAGGGTCTATGTATGGAAAATCAAGAGGAGCGCAAGTTCTGAGAAAACACCAATTAACTTGCAGGCTTTTGAGTAAGGGGTTTGAATAAAGGAAATCAGGAATCTAGGAGAAAAGCCTATGGGATACCTTACAGAATACCCCCCTCTATATACCTTCAATAAGTTAATATAGGACACCCTATGTAATACTCTATAGAATACCCCATATATACCTTATTACATACCTTTAGCCTGTAGAATACATTATGATTATAGAATACCTCACCAAAAACCACCTAGATACACCTTATAGAATACACTGTGGAGTAATTTATATAATAACCTCTATAATATGTTATAAGGTACTGTATACAATACCCCCCATACACCCTATGTATACCTCATATAATATTATCTGGAATACGCTAAAGAATCACGTATAGAATACTGTTTATATATGTCACCCCCTGAAGATCTTATATATATACCCTATAGAATGTCTCATGGAGTACCCTGTACATAAGGATTTACATATGGAAAGTGAGGAGCCATTAAATTGCAGATTTTTAAATAAGAGATTTCTATGCAAGGAACCAAAGAGTTATGAAACCAACCTCCAGAATACCTTATAAAATATCGAGACTATAGACCTGAAAGAATGTAATGTAGAATATCGCTGCTAGTACCTTATAATTTACCCCCAATGTAGCTTTTACATACCTTATTGTGTACACAAGTAAATACCTTAAAATTCATAGAACA